GTATTACACAAATTTAAAGCCGGTAAACGAACAAATAATTTTTATCATGAAAGGCATTTTTTAATCTACGCTATCATACATTTTTTGCGCGTTATAAATTAAAAATTAAATTATTTTTTTCTCTTTCGAAGTTATACAGCGACACCATTTTGAATTTTCGAAAAGACCACGGTTCATTTAAAAGCTCTTTTCAAGACGAACATTTTCCGGGGTCAAACGTTGAAATCCGTCCATATCAATTTTGGACAGAGGCTTGATCGATTTGACAAAGAATGCCCCATATATATGTGTGTATACATATATACATAATATATGCATAAAGATATAATACCTTAAAAGTGAATGTAAGCATATTATTTGAAAAATAAAATAACAACAACATACTGAATATTGTTTATCTATATTTCTTTCATTTTCAAATTATCGTTTTTGTATCTCAGGTACAACGTTCAATGGTATACAGCTCCCTTACACATACAAAGTATTATACTCTTTTTATTACAAAGAGGTGCCAAAAATTTTACTTTGGATGTCGGTGGATTGTTCATTGGATCATTAGAATGTTTTGCAACGGTAAGAAAATAGTACATTACGTACATGTTAGAATATATTTGTAATAGCATTCCACTTTATAAGTAAATAAGTTATATATATATATGTACATATGTATACTCTAATAATATCATTTATCGTAGCTGGTGAAGGCTTCGGTGTCATACTTTACTGTTATATATTCTACACGATAACAAGCCAAATGTAAAATCAGATTAACTGAGAGTTTGATAGATGTAGATAATAAAAAATTTATAACGTTATTGATACACGGACTACTTCACGTTTTTAGAAATTAAAGTGTCTACGATTTAAGTATATATTTATTAAAGCTATAATTTAGGGAACATAAAGCATTTTAAATATAACTAAAAAAACACAAAATGTTTCAAATAAAATTTTAAATGTACGGTCCAGTAAGACTCTTATTGTTAAAAATAATTTAATTAGAGACGTTAATGCACATTATGTTCGCAAGATATTAGAATATCTATAAAATAAAGTCATATTGGTCAAAATTTTAAGATAAAATTGTGTTTCAAACTCTCTCTCTCTCTCTCCTCCCTATCCCCCTCTTCCCCCTCTTTCTCACAGTATTATTTCTTTATTTGATTCTTTCTGTTAAAGATATATTTGTTGAGATATTACTTTTAAGTAAATAATTATTATCAGCGTTAACACTTTCAAATTTTAGAATTTTTTAATATATTATTTATAGAATTATGAAAAACAAAAAAAATATAATTTTTGTATTTTCGTGCTCTTCGATAAAAAAAGGAGAAAAAATTACATTACCCTTAACAATCTCTGAAATACTTAAGGCTAAAGAGACATTCTTCTTATAGATAAAGTTTGAGAGTACGAACAAGAATAACGAGTGTAAAAGTTTAAGTGCTGAATACGCTTGCGCAACTTTTTCGTGGAAATAATTCTCTGACAAGTAACTCTTTTTTATGCGAAATAGAGCATCTGCTGAATTTTATTGGTATTAAATCGATCGTGTAATAATAGATTTCATGAGAAATATTATTAAAATGCGAGTGTTTGATCCCATAATAGTAATCTTGCATATAAACGACATTAGAAAAATTGCGTTAAAATTTACTTCAGAAGAGAGAACATCATATAATATCTGATCGATAAATGCAAAAGAAAGAAATAAGTATTTCTTCGATATCTTATTGTTAGTCATATTTTAGAAATCGTAAAGAAATGATCTGTGTCGAGACACAATACTTTGGTCTTAATAAAAGACTTCTACTTGCTGTGGGTTTGTGGCCTTATCAACAAACAAAATTTGTTCGATTTCGGTTTATTTTTTTTCTGAGTATTCTTACAACTGCTATTTTATTTCAAGTAAGCCAATATATTCCCTTCTGTAATATTATTATTTTGAAATAACCTGTACACACTATATTATAATTTATAGTATATCTTTTCTTATTATATAATTTAATATTGTAACTTATATTAAAAAACAATTATATATATATGTATAGTAATTATATCATAATTATGATGTTCCGCAATTATCGAAACACTCCAACAGTAAGAATAATTACAATAAAAAAATTTTAATATAAAAAATATAATTATATATTAATGTCTGATAACATATTATTAAAAGTAATCAAAATAATTTAAAGATTCATCCACAGAACTTTGGAATTTTAATAAACAAAGAAAAAAGATTTAGTAAGTGAAGAAAATGTGAATATTTAATTCAGTGTTTATAATTTATAAATTACAAAATTTATTTTCATTTATATTGCATATATGTGAAAATTTAGGAATAACAATAACAAATACATTGATGAGTTCTGTTTTTTGATAAAAATAAATATTCACACATTTCATTCTTCCGATAAAAACAAACAATGGATCTAGTAATGCACTTTATATATATATACAAGGTGTCCTGAACTTTTTTGCCAATCACTTTTGTGTAGATAAAGCGGACTAAACTGAGTCGAAAAGTCCTCTACCATTTTGCAATTTTCGCAATAGTTAACAAGATATTAATTACTAAAAACTGCAAAATATAATTGGTTTTGATTAATTTTTTACTCAAATACTATCAACTTTACAGAAAAACTGCAAGAGACAAAAATTATTTATTTTCTTCTCATAAAGTTCTGAGAATTTTTTCAGAATTTTTTATCAACTTTTTAATACTGCATTTTCTTGTTTTTATCAACATGAGAAAATACGGTATTAAAAAATTCTGAAAAAATTCTCAGAATTTTATGAGAAGAAAATGAATCATTTTCGTCTCTTGCAGCTTTTCTATAAAGTTAATAGTATTTGAGTAAAAAATTATTCAAGACCAATATTTGGCAATTTTTAGTAATATAACGTGCAATTATTAAAATGATATACAATATGTATGTACGTATATGTAGTATATAAGAAATCGAGCATGTATGTCAGCGGAGCAGAGAAAATCAATAACACCTGCAGAGTTGTAAAAATCAATATTTAATTATAGATACGCGTTTACGCATAATAGAAATGAGTTAAAAAACTTCGCTAAAAAATACTGCTTGCTGATTTTGATTAATTTGGAAAATGTTAACTCTGACTTTTACAGTCTGAATTAAAATCTATTTTATTGAAATATTATACAATAGTTGCAAAACACCAGATATGTAACTATAATTATTTTTATCGTAAAATTATATGTAAAAAGAACCTATAATTTAAAAGTTATTAAATATATGAAAAATAGATTTTTTTAATACAAACATTTCAATAAAATTATTACTTGCAGTTCACTGCGTTTTTTACTTCAAAATGGTCTTCGGATCTCGTGCTCAGGATTCTGTCTGTTACGCTTTCTTTTCTTATGTTTGTAATAAATTACATCTCATTTGGTTTTAAGATGAAAGGTGTAAGTTAACGATTTACCATATTCGATTAAATTAACATTTCTGACAAATTTGTATATTCAACGATCTTTTTGGAAAAAAAACATAATATAAAAAGTTATTGGACTGGCAGGTAAAGCATTTACTGGCGCAACTTCAAAATGTATACAATAAACTACAAGATGAACATGAAAACGCTATTATGGAAAAGTATGGTTATACTGGAAAATGTTATACGGCTGCACTTACAAGTAAGACGATATTTCTGGATGTTTGCATTTGGTTATATCTCTTCTTGTTAATAAAGTCAAGGTTTCAATAGAAGACAAATAAATCTTGATAAATAATAATAATTAATTACATATGTATAATACATCGGATGCTCTATTACCATAAGATATATATTGTTATACATATTGAAAGAAAAATAATGATTTGTGACAAAAGACATTTAAATCGAATATAAACAGTAAAATTATGAGTTATTAACTAACAAGAAGCGATAAAAACCAATTATAATTGAGTTTAAAGAAATATAAAATTTTTGATATAATAAATATGCTTGAAGTAATATTTTGAGATATTATAAAATTTAAAGTTATATGAGTTACTTTCCCTAGTATTTGGTATTTGCAGTGTATTTACTCCTATTACCGCTGAATTTTTATTGACTACATCTAATGTTGTTTTGCCGATAAATGCATCTCAAGCACATCAAATGCAATTCACAACGGAATACTTTATCGATCAGGAAAAATATTTCTCTTTAATTCTGTTACATATAAACGCAGCATTTTGCATAGGATTGTTTGCAATAATAGGGATAGGAGCAATGTTATTTGTATATCTTCAATTTACATGTGGAATGTTTAAAATTTCCAGGTATGAAACGAATATAGACATGGCCATAAAAATTCAAATCATAAATCGAACAATTATATTATTATTATAAAATTCTGTTTATCAATTCAATAAGAATTGTTATATTTTGAAAGTCTAAAAGTAGTTTATTCTTTAAAAACAAAAAAAAAATATTTGTCGATATTATTTATAGTTATCGTATTGAACGCGCAATGAAAATTAATATGCTGAAAAATATTACTACGAAGAATGAGAAATTCATATTCGAAGGAATAATTTGTGCTATAGATATTCATCGGCAAGCTATGAAGTTCGTATGTAAAAATTATAGATATAAATCATATATAATATATAATATTTATTTGTATTTAAAGATTGTCCGAATTGTTGATGTCTAAATTTGAGATAATGCTGTTCTGTCTAACAGCAGTTGCAGTGACCTCTCTGAGCACCAACCTCTTCCGAGTAAGTCTCGCTAAAATCTTTATTCTTGTAGGAGTGTTTAATATTTCACAATCTAGTTCTATAGTAAGAAAGAATATACTTTTATATTAATATTTTTGATCAATTAATATTTATAATTAATTCTATGTACAAAATTTTTCATATAAATAAATTGTAATTTCTAAAAAAATATCTTATCATATAAAGAATAATGGATAGAACAGAAAAATATGTAGAGAAAATTGACTTCTTTATCGCATCTCTCTACATTTTTCTTTAACTCTTAATAATAATTATTGTATTTTAGATTTTTCAGATTAGTTCATCTCAAGCTAATCTCAAAGAATTATTATTTCCTTTTATATTCGTAACAATTTGTATTCTATACATGTTTCTAGCCAACTATACCGGACAGAATATTATAGATCATACTAATTATGTATTCATTACTGCGTAAGAGAATTTTATTGTAAAATATTATATATATTATATTGCACACATAAGTAGCTTGTATAAATATATAATGTATATTGAAAATAACAGCGAATACCTTAACTGTATAGAATAATTAATATATATGTTTTTAAACGTTAATTAAATATTATCACATAAATTTCTTGCTTTTCCAAATTTTCGATCTTTTTATTCGTTATATTATTTTACAGGTATAGTATTCAATGGTATATGACTCCCATATACATTCAAAAAATGATACTTTTTCTATTACAAAGAGGTACCAAAGATTTCACTTTAAATCTCAAAGGACTGTTTGTCGGATCGTTTGAATGTTTCGCTATGGTAAGAAAATAATATAGGCTTTCATGTATTGAAATTTTACTCGAGACAGTACAATAAATGTGTTGAACAATATCTATTGTAGCTGGTGAAAGCTTCGATATCTTATTTTGTTGTTATATATTCGACGCAATAAAAAAGACTGAATCAAATAACACGGTATATATATATATCCTATATTAAATATAATTAAAAAATGGAATAATTATATAAATTACTTATTATATTATTTATTATTTAAAAACTAAAAAAATTTTTACTTTTGTTCGTGTAGTTTAGATAGAAGAGAGAGAGTTTCGTTGTCAAGCAAATCATAATAAATAAAAACAACTTAATCTAAAATATTAGTTTGTTAAGTTTTTGCAAAAGGTTTTCAAAAGAAATAATATATATATACTGCATTCTATAGATATGTAAAATTAAATTTAAATATTATTACATTATGACTTTAATGTAAAATCTCCCAGCCATAACTTTAAAATAATTTAATTTATTTATATTAGCATTTACTATTTTTTAAACTTTCTGATCGTAAGTTACATAAATAATATATATAAAGACTTACGAAACGGTATAAAGCAAAATCATTTCTATTGTGACATTATTTGCTGATGATTTACAACAATACGAACTTAATAGAAAATATGTTAATTAGTTAATATATTTGAAATTGATGGCTAACTCTATCAAATCAAACATACATATATACATATAGGGTAAATTCGGGTATGATGGCCATAGTTTTTTAAAATGCAAAAAACATACCTAGGTACATTTATTCTTGTTTACTTTTTAACAATATTTGGGATATTACTTTCACTGAAGCTTAAAGTAACAAATACTATCGAAATTAAAGAGAAAATACTTGACACAACTTTAATTTTATCAAAATATTACAAAGTATGCATTGGCCATCTTATCTGATTTGTAGGGAAAAGATGGCCATGATATTAAGAAAGATAGTCATAATATTTATAAATAAATAGTGAAAATAAAAGTATTAATTATAG